ATATTATATGATGATGATGATGATAATAATAATAATTAATAATAATAAATGGTGGCTGTGTGAGTCTTTAGATATTGTATTGAACTGTTAGGTACTGGATTGGAACTTAGCTTTTAAAACCTAGCATATTCTCTCTCTCTCTCTCTCTCTCTCTCTCTCTCTCTCTCTCTCTCTCTCCTCTCTCTCTGTCTTTCTGTCTGTGTTTTGGTCTATCTACCTGTCTCTCTCCCTCCCCCTCCCTCTTCTATTGATATTCCCCATTACTAAGTTCATTATTATATCCTAAGGTCTAGCATAGTGATCAAACTCAATAAGTAGTTTGAATAACCAAATGAATATACAGTCAAATGCTAAACTATTAACTAAACTATTGAATACTACATATTACTCAATAAACTGAATGCAAATTTAAACTCACAAAGAAAAAGTCCCAACTGACCTGAAACAATTCCTATGCAGGAGGTGCTTTGTTATTAGTGAAAAAATTACTGTACCACTCAGGCTGTGTAAGACTTCAGCTGTGTGCCCATCTTTTACAGCATACACACTATGCCAGCGTGTACTGAGGCCAGCGAGAAGCAACCTCTGTTCCCTCAACCCACGTCGTTACGCCTCATCTCTGGCATCTCAGCAATGTTATCTTGTGCTGACAGTGAAAGTGCCCTTCCCACCACACAGCTTCCTGGCTGCCACCCACACTCAGTTCACAAATGGCCTTGCTTCATCATGTCTGAGGCCCTGTAAGATCCAGTCATATTCTGGATTTGTATCATAAAACTTCGTAATCTGGAAAAGGCAATCTAATTGGTAAATTGGTGAAGGGTGGCATTTTTGGTTGAAGTAAACCCTTGGCTGCTCTTTTGAGTTACAGATTCAGACCCAGTGGTAAAATTATTTGCCTAAGATGGGTTTCAGTTTATTGGTTTTTTTTTTTTGCTCCAAAATGTATGCTTTCTGCTGCATTTATTTATTTATTATTTTAAATCTGGCATATGCAGCATCTTAGTTTCTTTTCTGTTGCTGTGAAGAGAAATCATGACCAAAGCAACTTGTAGAAGAAAGAATTTGTCGTAGTTTCAGAAGGTACGCTCATGATTACCATGGTGGGGAGCATGGCACACATATGCCCCCCACACTCACACAAATACACATACATACTCACACACATACAAACATACATATATACACATGCACACTCCTACACACATATACATACACACATGTATACATACACCTCACACATATACACTCACACTGGCACACACATACAAACACATACATATACACACACAAAAACAAAATGAAAACATCCAAAATATATCATGAGAACTACAGTTTTTACATTTGTGATGTTTTTATGTGGGACTCAAATGAATTCTACTGAGAAGAGTGGTGTTTCCAAGAGGAAAATATTTGCAGATGTTTCATAAGTAGCTATAAAGAGTTAAGAAATGTTCCCAAGTTAAAACTGCTAAGTTACAGCTGGGCGGCGGTGGAACACACCTTTTTAAGCCCAGCACTCAGGAGGCAGAGGTAGGTAGCTCTCTGAGTGCAAGGCCAGCCTGGTCTACAGAGTACTGGGAAAGACAGGAGGAATCAGGGAGCATCTCTGGGGTCAGCTAGAAACCGAGTGCAATGAAAACTCCCAGGAGTCTGAGGATGACCCTAACTGAGACTCCTAGCAGCGAGAGATACAAAGCCTGAAGCAGCCGTCTCCTGTAACCACACAATCCACTCACATAACCTCTAACCTACCATTTGCCCTGCCTCCAAGATATATTGGGGTAAAGGTGGCTTGGAAATTATGGGAGTGGCCAATCAATGACTTGAGACCCATACCATGTGAGCGAACCCCTTCCTGATACTGCCTGAAAGACCAGGACCCAGAGTGTGGACAGCTTATAAACTAGAACCAAAGATGACTAGAAAACAAGAGGGAAAATAGTCAATGAAATAATTTCTAGTGATAGTCTGCTATACTCATAGATCATTGCCTAGCCCAGTTGTCATCAGAGAGGCTTCACCTAGCAGCTACTGGAAACAAATGCAGAGACCCACAGTCAGTCACTAGGCAGAGCTGCGGGAATCCTGTGGAAGAGGGGGAAGAAGGGTTAGGGGAATCAGAGAGGTCAAGGACACCATGGGAAAAATACAGAGAGCCAACTGACCTGGACTCATGGAGGCTCATGCAGATGGAACAGTCAGCCAAAATCTTGCATGGGATTGATCTGGGTCCTCTGCAGCAGTTGTGTGTATTCACCCTCTGCGGGGCTCTTTCCTCCTACAGGATTGCCCAGCCTGAGGAGAAGAGGGCCTAGTCTCGCTGTAACTTACATCCCACAGCTGACTGGTGTGTTTTGGAAGGCCTGCACTTTCCTGAAGGGAAAGGAGAGGGATTTGTTGGGGGGAAGTTGGAAAGGGGGACTGGGAGGAAAAGAGGGAAGGAGTGGAAACTGATTTATCTGGGAAAAATTAATTGATTAATTAATAAAAAATTTAAAGATGTAATTAAAAAGAATGAAGCAAGTCTTTGCAAGACTTTTTAAATGTATCTTTTCTGCAGAATTTACAATGGGCTTCCAAAGCTACACTGAACACTAGAAACTGGAGGTGAGGGAGAAAAAAATGGGGAAAGGAAAAATGTGTAGAATGTTTTTAGCCAAGAGATAAATCATAAACCTAATTAAATCAAGCTGTTTTTAAGTCTATATTTATATATTTAATCCACATTAGGTAGAGAATATTATTCAGAGGTTTACTTTCTTATGAGAAAATTTTAAAATAGTAAACCAAGTTCTTGAAGAAGAAAAAGAAAAGAAAAAGAAAAATGTGGGATTATCTTGACTGTGTTAGTGAATGTGGGAGTCAGCCCATAGTGGGGAGCACCATCTTCCAGGCATGGGTCAAGGGCTGTGTAGGAGTGAAACGTGTGAGCTAAATGCCAGGAGCTGGTGGAATTCATTTCTCTCTGCTCTTGGCTGTGGGACGCGAGATGATCTAGTCTTACGTCACTGCCACCTCGACCTCTCTGAGATAACGGACTGTAACCTGAGACAGGAAACTGAGCAAGTTCTTTTTGTTCAGGGCATCTTAGCAGAGTAACAGAAATGAAACTACGATACTAATTAGGTACATTTTAGAAGAGAGGAAAGTGAACCCCAGTGAAGCTACCAGGGCTGCCCCAAGTTGCCCGCGCTCAGGATACGTGGTAGAGCCTGGATCTGAAGACGTGCCTGTCCTTCACCACGGCTCATGCACTGGCTTCTCCACTAACTCACTAGTCAATTCTAAGATGCGGAGGTGCTGTGCTTTATCTAAGAAGTTGTTGCTTGCTGAGATTAGTGAACGCATCGATGCTCGGATAGTGAAAACATGGTATTTATAAGGAGACAGTCATTTTTTAATATGCAAGAAAAATATAAATTTTGGGATTTCCTCAGTGCTGCAGCTCTGACGTTGCTGGCATCTGCTCTTCTTGCTGTGCTCATAAGTCCTCGGAAACTGGGAGCTAATTAGAAACCAAGGAAATATTATCACTTGTATCCTGTCTGTATTCTCCATTCTTATTTATTCGCCCAAATTAGACTATGTTCATTCGCTTGTTTTAGACAGGTTTTCATTATATCACTCTTGCTAACCTGAGACTTGCCACATAGACCAGGCTAGCCTCATATTCACAGGGCTACACCTGCCTCTGCCTCCTGGGTGTTCACACCAAAGGTTGCAGCACTACGTTAGGCCACAGTCTGTCGCACTGGGAGGAACCATGAGTTATTTTACTTTGTTCCATTTTGTTGGAGACTGAGTTTCACTGAGTATCCAAGGCTGGCCTTAAACTCATTATACAGCCCAGGCTGGCCTCAAACTTGTGGTATTCCTCCTGCCTAGGTGCTGCGATTAAAGCATATTCCACCACTTCCAGCGTACAAGTATGAGCTGTAAAGATTATATTTTGTTACACTTTAATGGTTTATGTACATAAGGCACATAATTTGAATGCTATAAAATATATGATCAAAATTCAATCCACCCCTCTCTACCTTTCCTCAGTCACACAGTTCTTCCCTACTGGAGCCACCAGAATCAATTTCTTATGCGCTATCCCATAGATGTGCCGGGATATGCAAATTCTTACATCCACGTCTGCATTTGTTAAAAAGAGAATCAAAAGTATTTCCTTTGGCAGAATTCATTCAGCTCTTTTATTGTCAGTAGCAGGTAGACATTGCAAACGAGGGGAACCTCTGTTACTGGGTTGAAGAGTAAGAATTTCTGCTCAGCAATGCCAGCCATCTTGAGTGTCCCCGTGGCATCAGCACAGAATTCTTTGGGCATCATCATAGTGACTTAGCCACGACCACACATTCAGTGGAAAATCTTTCACACCCTTTCAAATTGTCAGAAACAACTTTGTTCTCGCTAAGGCATACTGGTGTCTGTTTAAAAGCCTATCTAACAGGAGCTGAAGAACCGGCTTAGTGGTTAAGAGCACTGGCTGCTCTTCCAGATGACCTGGGCTTTATTCTCAGCAGCGCACAGTGACTCCCAACCTTCTGTAACTCCAGTCCTCGGAGATCTGACACCCTCCTCGAGCCTTTGAAAGAATCGGGTACACGAGTGCATATACACACATGCAGGGAAAATGCTCAGCCACGTAAAATAAAAATAAATCTTTTTAATTTATCAATTCCAAGTGTGAAACTTTTTATTTAGATATTTTCATTCAGAATAAATTCTGAATCCATATTATTATAGCTATGGTTAGATAACTTAAGGGATTTCTGTTGACCTTTGTTTGGAACCTACTGTGTAGAGCAGGCTATCCTGAAACTCACAGGACTGCTTGCCTTTGCCTCCCAAGCACCAGGACTGAGGGAGTCTTCCACATGCCTGGCATTTTTTGACAGTTTCATAAAGGATAAATATCACAATATTTGTATTTCCATATTCAGATCTAATTATCATACTGATTTCACTGAAATACCTCTCATCTTTCCTAGTTCCGCTTACGTGCCTGAGTTCATCAGAACATAAAAACAATTTCGTAGAATACATCTCCTTTATTCATCAATATGATTCCAGGAAAAGTCCCAATGAGCCCATCTGGGGAAAGGTGAGGCAATGCTCAGAACTAAGCGTTTAATACGATACAGAACAGACGTACAGGAGAACTTTGCAGTCGTGTTTGTCTTTCTAATCGTTTATCTAAACAAACGTAGTCATCAGCAGGTTAGACTCAGCTCGTGGCGTGTAAGGAACAAGGATGGTGTCATGGTTTTGAACCCCGGGGCCTTTGGTATATTTACCGAGAGCACTGGTTTAAAGTGATAATTGATAAACATTTTAGATGTTCTCATGAGCAGGACAGAATTGAAGAGTCGTTGCTGGAAAGTCTAACGATACAGATGTTTGTTTTCATAGTTCATAGTAAGGAATCCTTTCGGACATTTGGACGCAATCATCAAGTCTATGGATTGATTATAGTTTCATTTGCAGCCATAGCAACCTATGAAGCAAAAAATAAAATCCCACGCAAATAGTTGCATTTGGACAAGTAGCGGTGGTCAGAAAGCACAGACGCTTAGGTGACTGTCTGCTTTTTACTTCTCGGCTCCGTCTATTTTCCCCGTTTACAAGGCTCACCAAAACTTCTGTGGTGTCTTTGGTTTTGGGCTGAAGTGACGGTTAGCGGAGAAGCAGACAAAGACGTTCCTTCATAACCAGGACTTGAACTCCCCACACACGCAGCTCCAGTTCAGGCTTCTCTGGATAATGTCATCTTTGTTTTCCTTTCCAGAGACACGGAACCTTTGTGCAGAGAGAGATAAAGCCACAGACTCTGCCGATAGTTCCCAAGGAGGGACCAGAGGTATTACCAAACGCTCTAGGGTCATGTTCATCAGAACAGCCCCCAAAAACAGAAAAAGGAAACTCGTCAGGAGACAGAATGACCTCACCAGGCCCACGCTGGCAGAATTCCCAAGAACTGCTGCAGACGTAGATCAACTTATGAGAAGCAGAAGGTCCAGCGCCTGGTGTGGGTGAGGACTGTGGCGCACTGTAGGGCGAACTCTTCTCACCAGGCACGAGCCCTCAAACCCACTAATAATAAAGCCAGGGTAAGTGAGGACAAACTCTGGTGTTCAGATAAAAACGTCATCTCTGGAATGTAGGCAGATTTCCCCAATGTCATGTAGGCACTTGGCACTGGCGTTGTTGTGTTCAGAACACAGAATTTACATAAATAGGGGGAAAGATTAAATAGCCCAGCCCAATTTTACATGGCCCCAATGAGTGATAGATTATGAAACAGTCTATCTGTCTCTTTTATAAACAAAACAACTTAACAGAAAAACAGGATCTCAAAGGAGAGGCCCGGTTCACTCAATCGATCGTTAGTCACAGCCCTCAAGTCCCACTGGTTGGGATGCTGACTGTGCTTCATGAAAGCTGTGTGGCCTTGTGTAAGTTATTTAACCTCTGGCTTAGTCAGGGTTTCTGATGCAATGAAGCACCATGACCAAAATGTGCACTGGGGAGGAAAGGGTTTATTTGACTTCACACTTCGGCGTTGCCGTTCATCACTGAAGAGATTCAGGACAGGAAGTCAAACAGGGCAGGATCCCGGAGGCAGGAGCTAACGCTGAGGTCATGGAGGGGTGCTGCTTACTGGCTTGCTCCTCATGGCTTACTCAGCCTGCTTTCTCATAGAATCCAGGACCAGCTGCTAGAGATGGCACTGCCCACCATGGGCTGGGCCTTCCCCTATTGATCACTAAATGAGAAATGCCTTACAGCAGGATCTCAAGAAGGCATTTCCTCAGCTGAGGCTCCTTCCTCTGATGACTCTAGCTTGTGTCACATTGACACTCAAAACCACCCAGTACCACCTCTTTAGATTTCATAAAGTTATTGAGCATGAGATTGTACACACTGATCAATAAATGGTCATTGTAATGCCATGGTTACTATTACTACTCTCAGACCTCCTCTATACACAACTGAGAGTGTGAAAACCAAAAGCATTCATCAGTACAGTCACACACACAAACACAAATCAAAGACTCATGAGAACTTAGGAGATGAAAGACCTCCTACATTGTTTTGACCGCATCATATATCACACTAGCTTGGTTTAGATGATTTGGTAAAAATTGCTTCTATGACTCTTCTGACTTGTTATGTTGGATGTGCCATGATATGGAGAATTAGGTGGAAGGGTTGTGTACAGAAGCACATGATATACACATGGAGAATTAGGTGGAAGGGTTGTGTACAGAAGCACATGATATACACATGGAGAATTAGGTGGAAGGGTTGTGTACAGAAGCACATGATATACACATGGAGAATTAGGTGGAAGGGTTGTATTGTGTAAGAGAAGAAGCACATGATATACACATGGAGAATTAGGTGGAAGGGTTGTATTGCATATGAGCAGAAGCACACGAATTTTCCTCTGATTCAGACAACAATTTCTCCTCCACCTCATCCCCACTAAGAGAAGTTTAATAAACTACAAAGAGTCATGCTTGTGTGTTGGGGATTTCTGTCCTGGTGGATAAAGGCTGATGGTGAACCGTTTCGATGCCAAAATTCAGTATAAAATAAACAACCAAATAGAGATAATCATAAAGGAGAGAACTCCTGTGTTCCAAAATAGGAAAGGGGCTTGTTTCTGCACCAGTGTGTAATCTGACAATGTTGTCAAAGCACACACATTGCCATATAGTCGGGGTGAAGCTGACTGCATTAGTACCCATTAGTCAAATCATCCTCAGATCCTACCTGTTTCGTGAGTTCTAGTTGCTATTAATAATAAAAACCAGAGATAGATATTAGGGGGTGAAAGCTGAAAGATCAGAGAAGCAGAGCAGCCCGCCACTAGAGAACTTACCTCTACAATTCTCAGCTCCCAAAGAGACTACGCTCCATTATCTGCCCAGCCATATCACTTCCTGTCTGTCTGTACAGACCTCCAGACTCTATGGTTAACTAAAGGCTAGCCCCTCCCTCTGATCTTTAGGCAAGCTTTATTTGTAGAGCACAAACAAACAATCACCATACTTACCTGCATATCTCAACTCCCTTCCAAAGCAAGGCTGTAGTACTGAAACAGTCTATACTGATGATGGTCTAGACTCTCATAATCAAAGAAGAGCATGCACCCAAGAATGGGAGGCATCTCACTCAGCAAGCACCGTTGAATCTGGCTGGTAAGAACTCTGATAAAGGGGGAGATGGTAATCAGATTTGAAAAAGGACCTAAAGACTTGATTTTGACTTCACCTTTGAGCAGATATGCAACTTTATAGTCTCCAAAGTAAAGAGATAGAATTGAAATTTTGAGGCCAGGCTCTGTCATCTTGAAGATGGCAGCTAGAAAATTTATATCTTTATAAACTAGAGATAGCCAGTAATCCAGTGGAGAGCAGAGCCAGGCTTGTGCCATACTCCAGTTTGCAACATGAGTTTATTGTAGGATTTATCCTCACAAAGTTAACAATTGAAGTTCTGCTACTGATGCTTCTGGGATGTCCAATAAAAGGCAATGCAACACTCACCCCTAGATATATCCATGATTCTCAGGAAAAAAAAAAAGAAAAAGATTAGATCACCAACAAAAATTGCACCTCTGAGCCAGGAGTGGTGTCTCAAGTTTGTTATCCTAGCATTTTGGGAAGCCAAAGCAGGAGGATTACAAGTTTGAGGCAAGCCTAGGATATATGGGGAGACTGTCTCAAGAAGAACTCTCCCAAATAAAATTATAAATCATACAGGAAGAAGAGCAAGCTGGGCAAAGATCTGCTAAAAAAAAAGATGAAAGTTTCAAAACTGAAAATAGTGGAATTAAAATACCCTGAAGACCTGTGTGCACATGTGCATATAAGTCTATCTGTAAATGTATGTGTACATGTGTATTTGTGTGTGTTAATGTATGTGTTCATGTGCGTGTCCAGTACCTACACATGCGTCCTTAGTACATGTGGCGATGTTACCTAGGTGACAGCACCCGCAGTGCTGCGGTTGGGCTGTGTGTCTTATATTTGCATCCTGAAATGTATTGATTTTTCTTAGTTGAGTAGATGCCTCACATTCTTGGTTGCATGTTCTTCTTTGATTATGTGATCTCTAGACCTTCATCAGTATAATGTTTCAGTTTGCTGCTGCCTGGCTTTGGAACAGCGATGAGATACACAGACAAGCAGAACCTGAAGATGATCTGACTAATGGGAGCCCTAACTCCAGTGTGAATCAGCAGCTTCTTATGCATTGCCCTGACTCTGCAACCCTGCTGCATGAATCAGTCTCTGGCACAGCTTCCTATTGCTCAACTCATCTGAGAACAGAATAGGATGGCAGATTTTGCTGTTCTGTGTACAACTCTCTAGTTTTTCAACTGAGACACGCTGTGGAATAATCCTCTTGTACACTATAAAGACTTGTCACTCAGATTGGTTTAATAAAATGCTGATTGACCAGTAGCCAAGCATGAAATATAGGTGGAGCAATTGAGCAACCAAAATGAGAATGCTGGGAGAAAGAAGAGCCGAGTCAGGAGTTACCAGCCAGAAGAACGTGCCATGTTAATAAAGGTACCGCCATGTGGCAGAGTATAAATAAGGAATATGGGTTAATTTAAGTGTAAGTTAGTGGGTAATAAGCCTGAGCTATTGGACAGGTATTTATTAGTAATATAAACCTCTGTGTCATAATTTGGGAAGTGGCTGCCAGGTATCTGGGAACAGGCAGATGGAAGAGAAATATTCGGGTTACAGAGACATGCCCCAAATTAACACATACCTATCATATCCATTAATCCTAGGCTGATTGTGCATTGGATCAGTGGATCTCAACCTGGGGATCAAACAACCCTTTCATTGGGATCACCTAAGACCTCTGGGAAACACAGATGTTTACATTACAACTCATAACAGTGCCAAAATTACAGTTAGGAAGTAGCAAAGAAAATAATTTCATGGTTGGGGTCACTACAACATGAGGAGCTGTGTTAAAGGACCTCAGCCTTAGGAAGGCTGAGAATCGCTACATCAGATCTACCACCACTCATCGATATCCATATGTTAGGCTTTTGTACTTTTATAATTTCTTTCAAAATTGGTTAAAAATTTATTTTCTTATTATACCACTCCATTTTTTTGAAATCTCTTAAAATGGATTTTATGATCTATGTTTATCTGTATGTACTTTTATGAACTCCAGAAGACAAGCACCAGATGTATATAGTCAGTCAGCCATCTTGAATCAATCTCTAATTCTCTTTTAAGTAAATTATTTGCAATCTTAGCACATTGCCCACCGAGGCATCGTTTCTGACCCAGGGAATATGTTTTACTGAAAAGTGAGGGTTTGGGGCAAATAGCCCAATAGTGGGCTATTGCTATCATAGGCTACATTGTCTCTTAATCTTTTCAAATATGAGATGTCTTTTTGTATTAAGAAAGAAAATATTATGTTTCCTCACAAAAATAGTTCATTGAACTTTTATTATCCATTGTTTGTGGAATGGATAATTACAAAAAAACGATGATTTTCAGCTTCCACAGTTAATTAAAACACCAATGTTGGCATTGCACAGAGTGTTTGAATTTTTCTGTTCAATTTCCTCACTAGATTCTTTCATGAGTAGATAAACTTTATCAGAATGTAGCATTATTTCAGTTAATCTAAACCAAAACTGAGCCCACAATGTTTCTTATAAATTAATATTCTCAGATGCTGCAATGAACACACGGATGTTTGCGACAGGCACACGTCACCATACTTGACCTCTGTGAAATAACTCCTAAAACCTTGGAATGTCCTAGGTCAAAGTGTCTTTGTGCCTGCTGTGGTGGTGTACACCTTCCGTCCTAACACTCAGAGGCAGAGGCAGGGGAATATCTGTGAATTCTAGACTAGCCTGGTCTACATAGTGAGTTCAAGGACAGCTAGGATTAAATGGAGAGACCCTGCCTCAAAATAGGGGGGAGGGGAGCACTTCTGATAATCCATAGTAATCTGGGGGCTCTTGGACCACACAGTGTTAGCTTGGCCTGGGGTGCACTGGAGACTTATGTCAGCTGCACAGGTGAACAGCCTTGTGTATAACTCTGGACACCAAAACACCAACTATGTCTGCGATGGACGGTACTTCACGCATGTTGTCAGCATGGTTCTCACACAGTTCCACTGGGGAAAGTAACTGGAACCCTTCCCATATCCTCCCCTGCTGTCTGACCCGTTCCCTGTCATAAACAATAGCAACGGGTTGGAGTTCTAGTGAGTCTAGGTCCTCTGAAAAATGAGGGTTGTCAGGGAGATCTCAAACTTCCTTTGGGGCCGTAGGCATTGTGCATATGGAGTACACCTGGTCATAAGAAACATCAGCCATCTCACTAGACCACAAAACAGTATCTCTTTCATAGTAAGCATTCAAGTCTTCAATTTAGAAAAACCAGCATAGGCAGCACATGTTAGGGATTTGTGTGTGTGTGTGTGTGTGTGTGTGTGTGTGTGTGTGTGTGTGTAACATTGTTGCCTGCACTTGCAGACATTTGATATCTCTCATCCAGTCCCTTCTCAGGTAACTGAAAAACTTTCTGAGAATCACTGGGAAAGACGCTTAGATCTAATACAACCAAAAGCTAAAAAATACAGTTTAGACAGCAAGGCGTCCACAGAGCAGATCCTGTCTATATAAACATTGGTTTCTACATGATACAGTATTGAAGTCATGATTGAAACGGAAGACTAAGAAAATAAAGGGCAGTAGATGTGCTCTGAAACTGAGCTACAAACCTACCTAATTAAGTTATTTTAGTGGGAATAAAATATCCTGTTACAGGGGGAAAATTCACTACTACTTGATAAACAGTGTACACTTAGCTAATATTATCTAAGCAATATTTTATCTTTGCTTTAAATACTGAAATCTTTGTGCTCCTCTCATCCTGAGAGTTTTTAATTTTATTTTAAAGAAATGAGACAGAGAATATGAAGACACCCCAAATTCTGTGGCCTCCCCACAAATGCACAGGTGTATCGGTTTGCACATAAATACACAAGCATCTATCACACACAAACACAGAGACACAGATGCAGACATGCACACACACACACACACAGTAAGAGAGAAGAGAACTGAAAAATCATTTGTGGTAGAGAGTATGGTATGCAGGAAAGGGGCATTGTAGGGAGACATGTTTCACAGTCAAGGGTCAAGATATTTGAAAATAAAACATGAAGGAGGTCAAGTGAAAACCCCAGTGCCAAATGAAGAATGCATCCCTATTAGCTGTGATTTGGGGAAGCCCTGGAGTCCCCCCAAACAATGCAGATTATCTTCGTTGCTCTTAGCGGCTCATCAGAACTAAATGGTAAGACTGTATTGCTAAGGTCAGCATTAAAGAAATCAAGCTAAACTTGAGCTAATGTTTCCTCCCTCTGGAATAGCTCACTCACTCTTTCTCTCTCTCTCCCTCTCTCGCTCTCGCTCTTTCTTCCTTTCTTTTGGTTTTTTTTTTTTTTTTTTTTTTTTTTTTTTTTTTTTTTTTTTTTTTTTTTTTTTTTTTTTTTTTTTTGGTTTTTTGAGACAGGGTTTCTCTGCGGCTTTGGAGCCTGTCCTGGAACTAGCTCTGTAGACCAGGCTGGTCTCAAACTCACAGAGATCCGCCTGCCTCTGCCTCCTGAGTGCTGGGATTAAAGGTGTGCGCCACTTTTTTTTTTTTTTTTTTGGTTTTTTGAGACAGGGTTTCTCTGCGGCTTTGGAGCCTGTCCTGGAACTAGCTCTGTAGACCAGGCTGGTCTCAAACTCACAGAGATCCGCCTGCCTCTGCCTCCTGAGTGCTGGGATAGAATACCTTTTATAGTGCCTGATGGCGCTATGAAAGAAGCTCTGGGTAAGTCAGCAGCAGTGACAAGATGTGCACACTGCTTCTGATTGGATTTAAGGCCTACTCCAAAGGAGGGACTTTGTTCCCTCCCTTGGCTAGGAAGATCACAGGCCCTGGGGGATAATCTACCATTGCTAGATTGCTAAATGGACATGTTGTCAAACTTCTTTCTAAATATTTATGTTTACACCCATAAACAAACGCTACTCTTAACTTTGATCAAAGAAGTTTGTTTTTTGCAGTAAGTTAATGTGAATGCAGAGACTCATGGCTACTCAAGGTGCTGAGCGCAAGTCGCCATTTAGTGCTTAGTCCTAAATGGGACATCTATGCCTTCCACCCCCCAAGGCCAAAGAAACTTCATGGGAGAAGCAGGCTGGCTGATGGGGAAGAAGAGCTATGATGGACAGGGGGAAGAGCTAGAAGAGGAACACAGACAAGCGGACATTCTGGTGCACGTGGACATTGTTCTTGCTTGCTGATGAAGGAGGAACTCCAAAGATGGTGACAGAATGTTCTAGACATGAAGGAGGTATTGCGGTGTGGGCATCCACTGCACAGGAATGCGACAATGACAGGACATAAACATGCCTGGCATGTTTAGGAGAAAATGGTTAACTCTGGGCAGGGCACAAAACATAGCGTGGGCAGCGTGGGTGGCTGGAGAGAGAGCAGACAGGGTG